CTTCACCGAAGACGACATTCAGATGGCTAACAAACACATGAAGAAATGCTCAAAATCCCTAGCCCTAAGAGAGATGCAAATTAAAACAACTATGAGATATCATTTCACCCCAGTCAAAATAGCAAAATTTAACAGAACAGCAAGCAACAAATGCTGGCGAGGTTGTGGAGAAACTGGAACCCTGATTCACTGTTGGTGGGAGTGACAACCTAAGTGCCCATCAACAAACGAATGGCTAGAGAAGCTGTGGTATATTCGCACAATGGAATACTATGCTGCATTAAAAAACAAGGAACTCATGCAATATTATTCAAAATGGTTGACTCTGGAGAACATTATGCTGAGTGAAATATCCCAGCCACAAAAGGACAAATATTACATGATGCCACTGTTGTAGAATGGGACTGTCCTTGGGGTTGGGGAGAGACTGAGTAAGATGGGTTCAATAATGTATACTGCACTGAAACAGAGGAGGGAGAGAACTGTTTAAAAGAGAGATATAACTGGGTATTTCTGTCATCACAGGAGACTAGAGCGAGGGCTACATGGTGGAGGGGACCTGGGGGAGGGTTTGTAAAACAATGAAAGAATCTTTTCTTTTACTTTTCCATAATTTTTGGACTCATGTACTTATAACTTGTTAGTCAAATTTGTGTCTTCTAGGTTGCAACACCCCCATGATACATCTTCAAGGATATGAACATGTACGGCCAAGCACAATCAGTAAGAGTGCATCTAAATTCCAAAATCAATCTCCATAATAGTCTATGTGTTTCCTACTGCCAAAGGGGCCCTTTAGAGTAGTGAGAGAAGATCTTCACCCTGAAACCCACAGCGTCCCTTTTCAGCAGGAAGTAGCTAAGAGAATACGCCATCCCCTTTTCCTTATGACTCAGAGTGAAGTCTCTCTCAGGGAGGAGTGATGGGGAATGGCAAAGGACACACTGACAAAGAAGATTAATCAGAACTGGCTTTGACAAGCACTGTGGCATTTGGACAAGAACAAACTGGGAGGAGGGTAGAGAGAATAGTGCAACAATGAATGAGTGGAAGCCCAAAATCTCTGTAAATGTTTATGAAAATTAATAAAATATAATTATAGAAAAAAAAAAAAGATGAGGTGGCAGTCTGCTCCCATTACTATTTCGATCTCGTTGTTGGGTTGAAATTGTTTTATAACTGACTTACCAGCGGATTGTCAAGAGCCTGTAAATCTCGTTGGAGGAAATTGCTTTTTTTTTTCTCTAAAGGAGTTGCTGGTGGATTCAAACTGCCATGGATGTGCCACCTTGGGGTTAGCAGCACAACACCCTGTGGACTAGGTCACCCTAACTCCTTAACAGCCTTGGAATTGGAATTGATTTGACACAATATTTTTCTGGACTTGATGAAAAAATACTTGGCTAACCCTGAAGATAACTTTGCTGCATTAGGTTGTTCTTGGTGGATGTGACATACAACTAAGATTCACAGATTTTTTTTTAAATAAACATCATGCATTTAAAATGGGAAGATTTGGCTTAATAAAACACTTGATTAAAGGTGTAAATCTTACCCTTAAGAAAAATTTTCACAATAAGGTTAAGTGCAGTTCCCTTGGAAAATAGGTCATAGTAAAGCTAGTAAAGGAAGGTAAACCTATTGTCTACTTCATACTCTGAATCTTTATTTGCATAATTGATATGCTATTCTTAGTATTCAAGTGATTGGTTTATACTGAATGGCACCAGTTGTGATGAGTAATGTTCAGTGCTAATACAGACCTCAGTTTAGCTTTTCTTTCAATCAGAAACCTAAATAACTATCACTTATTTGGTTGCTAATATGATGTGCCTAGATACAAAAGCATAATTTTTACGGCTAGAGATTACACTTGCTTCAAGTAGTTCTTTGCTTTATTAAACCATTAACTTCATGCTGTCATCTGATACAACGCAGGTAGCCACTGATAAAACTGGCTACACAGTGACCCACTTATGCAAAACACTCTAATCTTCATGCCAAATAAGCAGCAGTGAAGCTGATAAATATATTTGAACACAGATTATTTTAGCATGAATTTAAAATAACACAGCTTCTAAAGGCCAATTGGGTGGAGTGGCAGAATAGTCTAAGCTTTTGCCCTAGTCTTTTACAATAAGAGGGAATCCTCAAGAAACATCATTATGTGAAGGAACCAGGAAGGATCTTTTGTGAAAAACAATGTATTCAAACTTGGTAAATAAATCCGTTTTTAAAAAATGTATTTCAACGGGAAAAAAAGCCCAAACATCACCATGGCAGGAAATAACTTTTCTCTGGACCAAGTCATGAGTTTTCTTCAAAGACATATTCAAAATAGAAAAAAAAATTACTATCACTTATTGTTTCTTAAAAACATGAAAACTGGAGAACGAAAATTACAAAAACCCCAACCAAAACATTCCCATTGATTTTGACTCACAGTGACCACATAGGAGAGAGTGTACTCTCCCTACAGGGTTTCCAAGTAGATTGCCACAGGCTTCTGTGAAGAAGCTTAATGTTTTAAGTTGCTAACCTTATGGCTAGCAGTGCAGTACTTTAACCACTGTGCCATCAGGTTCCAAGAGTAGATTTATTGCCACAAAAGAAAATCAAGATCATTCTGGATATAAACTGTTTACATGGTAGTCCAAATTTCATATTCAAATATATTTTGAAAGATGCTCCTTCATGAGCAATGAGACAACACAAACCTATTACACCACAAGGACCAACTTTTTCATTTGCTATGGATTATACACAAAGGATTAGTCTCAGAAATATACTTGGATACTAGTTATCTTTCAAATTGAAGCCATTTAATCTTGTATGTTTTGCTGGTTGGTATCTGATTAAATTAAGACTTCAAGTAAAATTTAAGCACTCGATTTCCTAACTTCTGAGTCTGGACAGCACCACACATGTGTTAACTGTCCTATTTCTCAAAATTCATGGTTTATCAATCATTTCAGCTGAGATTTTTTTTTAGTGCCAATTTCAACTGAAATTAGCAGGGAAGAGTATACTGGAAATAATGTTATACTGTTATAGTATTAAATGTAAAGTATGACAACCTCACTCATACTATAAAAAGTAGCTTTTAGCAGTTGCAGACAAAATGGAATCTTAAACTGACACAAAAGGGTCTTTTGCTTCTAGGTCTGGAGCACAACAGGGATTTACTCTACTGCCACCGAGGTTAACCATGACTCAAAGCAATCCTCCATCTGGTTGAATCTCAACAGGAAAATCAGTGCCTCAAGTTTCGGAACTTTGCACTTTGGTTAGCAGCACAACTTGCTAAGGCAAAACCAGTATTCTTCACTTATATATTGGGGTAAAAAAATAGCATTCAAGCATTAAATGGCACTCATTTATACATATAAGTTCGCTCTAAAAAAAGAAATTGTACAAACATAAGAAAACTGCCTTGCTAAATTTTGCTACTTTTCTCTAAAGATGTGGCCTTTTCCACTGACCTTCAATGTTACATTACCATATTGCTAATCAATCTGCAACCACATTCAGAACTATATGAATTAAAGACAAAAGTCCTTAATAAAGGTTTTTGAAGGACCAAAGTGGCTTTGCTTCAACAGATCATTCATACTCATTTTCAAACCTCATGAATGTACTCTAAATCCAAAAACTACACGAGAGCTACCCTTGCTATGACATTACCTAGCAGACATTTACCTTTCATTTACTTGCTAAGAACATCATTTCACCAGATATCGGCAAAGGAAATCTTACAAATGATTCCAATAACTTCAAAGTTATATATCTTTACTTTTATATAGTAATATTAAAAATTCTCAACTTTCCAAGTTCTGGTAATAGTCACCACTCAGGATATTAAAAGAGCCAATAATGTGCACTAGACATCATTTGAAGTATTTTTGTTATGCACTGTTACTTACAGATGAAGCCTGATGCAGGTGCTAAAATGTCCTTGAGCCCACAATTCTCAGAAAGTTAATCTACACAACAGGAAGCCTGCCTCAGCTCACACCTGAGGCTATAAATTTTACATATCAAGTCCACAGAGAATTGGATTTTACAAGCTAAGCCAAGGTCATAGAGCTAGTTCAACTCAGTCTACCGAACACTTGGAGAAAAAAGTTAGACATGTTTACTAATGGGAAAAGTTTATAAAAATGCTTAATATTCTTTACTGTGCAATCCAAAGCAAACGGCATTCCCTGAACCATTCCAATTTTAACAGAATATAAGCAGAATTTTTTCTAGCTTCCTTATACTTACCACAATCCTTATACGTACCACAATCCCAACCACCACCAAGAAACAATGGTTCTACTCTGTGTAAGGTGTGCCATAGTAAAATTACAATTTACTGTTGTTCACTGGCCACACAAACCCCCAAAATTATGCCTGTATTTTTGACAAGTCACACCTCTCTGATTTGTCATATATAAAGCTTAAAACAGCAAATAGGCAATTGTTATTTCAGTCCCTTCTGATCCTTAAGGTGCCTATTTATTTCTTCACAGATCTATTGCATACATGAAAACGTTACAAAACTCAATGCATGGTTAATAATGTTCAGGGATGACAATGGATAAATGTAAATACACGCATACCTCTCGTTATACTGTACCCTGCTTTAACACTGCCTTTAAAATAATACCACCCCCAAAAAACCATCCCAATTTATGACAACTCAGCACATCAACAGGCAGCATGAACTCAGGTTTCTGTCACAATTTTAGTCAGTCCAATTTTTTTCATACTATCGCATTGGAAAAGCCATAGTGTATATATTACAGAGAAGTATAAAAATGTGTCAAACTTTGCTGTTTTGCAGTATTCTTTTATTACAAAGGTCTGGAGCCAAGCCTGCAATATCTGAGGTATGCCTGTATAACCATGCAAAATTTGTGTATGCAACTAAAAGGCTGAATATCAAACAATGTAATAATCATTTTCTAACTTCAGGCTTCTAGCTATAGCTTAAAAACCCAATCAACAAGTGAAAGTTTCCCTCTGTACATGGCTTTTATTATTTACATAATACAATATAGCATCGATGCTGAAGAGCATGATTATGTGCAATACATAAATATGAGCTATCTGTACACATCTGAAGCTCTAAAGTACATAAAATTAAAAGCAAAACTGAATGTTTTAAAATAAAAACTAAGACTGAACACTGCAGTAAGTAGTGCCATGTGTACATACATAACTATTTACAGATGAAAACTGGCATTACCACACTAATCTAACTGTACTCATTTATATATATAAAAAAACACAAGTTTCATACATCACAAAAACCTTCCATTATAACACAGAAGTGATATTACCAGACAAGCATCAGTGAAGTATACTGCCTTTTCTAGTTGTTATTGTACAATGCTGTAGATAATGCAGCCCATGCAATACACCCAAGAACACTAGAGTCCTACACCCAAGTACAATTAATATGATAAAGCAGCCCTCTGCAGGTGGTGCTGGTTACCACTAAGTCTACTGCAGCCATGTTGGTTATGGTTTTCCATGCAGAAGGGTACAGTTGCATTAAGAACTGAAGTCTTAAAAAGCTTTAAACATTCTTTCTTGAACCAAAACATTCAACAAAAGATGCATATGAAAAATTAACTGTTCAGATAACCTTTGCAACTTAAAAACTCAGATGCATGTTATTCAACAGAGCTGCTGTATTGTGAAAAACCATGTGTTTTAACTTCTTGTAAACAAATCAATCCTAGTGCAGTTCTGTGCTACATTTTAGCAGAGTAATGCAGACATCTTCTGGTGCAGGCCAGCACAATAAGCTTCCAACTTTGTTGGCTTGATGGCTCATGTTTATGATAACCAGTTGTGTGTACCTTTCACAAAATGTCAACTGACAGCTTTTTAGAAGACCTAACCATCAGGCTTACGTATGGCACCAAATCCTGGTTTCATAGAAATGTCTGATTTCTTCCTGCTTCCAAAAAACATGTTGTTGAAATTAACAGGGCGAAGGTTTGACTATGGTAGTAGACTGCCAGTCCTTTTCTGGTGTACCATATTTTTAAAAAGATTTTTTTAAAATACAGGCACATAACACTAGCCAAAGATTATACCTTGATTACATTCCCAAAAGGCAGATATGCTGCAAACATGCAGATTTCATGTATTTGGTTTGGCACACGGGAACTAAATCTTGTCTCTTAGTAGTGTATATTTCAATTTGCTCTGATTTTCATCCAATTTTATTCAAGGGGAGGGCATATACATTTTTAGGGCTGTATCTATCCAATTCTGCCTGTTAAACACCCAAACATCCTAAAGTATCAATAAGACAGACAAGTGTAAAGTAAAACTCTGGAGAACATCAAAGGAAAATGGCCATGCATCTGCTCTTTAATGTTTTCCTACGATATATTAAAATAAAAACAAAGTTTCAGTCTCTTCACAAGTAGTACATTATATTCTCTGGATTTTTTCAGCCACAACAACTGGATTCTCTTTTCTTATTTTTGCTGCAGCTTCTGCTTTGTAATCATACGGACAGTTGTGCTTGTCAGAGTAACGGTGAAGTCCACAAAACAAATTTCCACATCGGCAGTCAAACCCTGTAAGAGGAAGTACAGTCACTTGGGGAAACTTGCAGCAATAAAGATTTAAGGGGGAAGGGCTCAGTCACTACAGAAAAGGAACTTATTTTCAATACTTTCTACAATATGAAAGTCTTGATAGTATACAGTGAATTAGTAAAATATTCTGTAATTCTTATTCTCCAGGGCAATTGGGATGGTGGAGACAGGAGATAGTACAATGGGAAGTGCTCTCTGCTTCTATAAACTCCTACAGAAATTACATATGATGTCATCTTGGGTTCAAATCCCAGTCCTTCCAAGTTAAGTGAACAACTAGGGAAAAGAGAATCATAATATTGACATATAAAGAAGACAAGTGAAATAGGTTTAAACATGCCAAAGCCCTCCTGATGAAATCAAGCAAAATCTTTCTGGCTAGGGCATCCACACAAGTATTCAGTTTTCTTTAAACATCTCATACTTTGTGTGTAAGAGTCCATTTATTGTTGAAAACATGGCTAATGCTAAATAAGCTTTTAGGCCGCTTTGACCAAAGTGCACAATAAAAAAAAAAATTACACTCAAAATTAAAAAGGTATATACAAGCCATCACAATATGGTAAAAAAAAAAATAGTTATGGATCAAGGTTCATAGCCCCTTGGTAATACAAACAACTAAAGTTGATTATAGTTACCTGGTAATGCCAATATCCTTTGAAAGGAACTCAAATCTCAAAAATTTTTATCAATCCAATAAAAGATAATTCAGAGGGGTTAAAGTATTAATAAAGGACTTCCTCATTAAGGACAGAAATCAAACTCGACTTCTCTCCTACCCACTAATTATTATTATAATCATCATCATCATCTGGTCTCTACCACATGCTGGAAACTCTTCCATTCCTGATAATGTTTTAAATGTAAGAACACCAATCCCTAGCGCTCCTTGTTAAATGCTGGCAGTAAAATAGACATTTTATGTGATACCTGTAAGGCCAACTTTCTTTCTGCACATGAAACATCTGTTCTTCTTTGGTTTGGGCAATTCAGGAGCTTTCTCTTCACTTTGAGAAGTACTGGGCTGGGAAACTGAAGGACTAGGCTGAGTTACAACTGAAAAATAAGGCAGACATACGGAGTCAAACATTTAAGGTAAATAGAATTATATAGAAAAATGTGGGACGGTTATCTTAAATATATGCCTTTTTTTAAGGATCTTACACTTTTATCAGAACTCCAAATCAGAGATGAAATTACTGTTAACTTTTCATTCTGGATTTTACAACTTTTGCAAAATAGATCATCTTTAAACTCACTTAAAGTCAGTACTGAAAAACAAAACTCTAAATTTTAAAGACCAGGGAGATGGTGAGATCATGTGCTCAGTTTTCGCTAAATTTACTAAATGCAAATTTTCTAATTAGGGTAATTTAAATTCATTAATTCTAGTGTAGGAAGGTACAAACTTCTGAAGCACTTGACTATTAAAATGCCATGTTAGTTTTAAGCTGAAACAAACAATCCTAGAAAGGAAACCAGCAAATTTTGACAAATCCAGCACTTCTTATCAGGCTCTAGGTCTCAAAAAATGATCTGACCATTTTTCACAAGTGCACTGTAATAATTAGTGTAAATCTTTTTATTTAAAGATCATCTTTAGCACAGTATTAGTTTTAGTACCCTTAAAATATCAATTCTAGACATAAGGCTCATTTAGGCAGAGTAATATTGTTTAAAGTACAGTTTTTTTTTAACTTATGGATCTTTTAAAAGGAGTCTAGAGTTTTAGTTAACATGTATCAAAATGTTGAAGACAAAACTTTATGACTGCAAAGGTCATAATCACCTTCTTTAAAAACAATTTACTTAAAAGAAAGTCAACTACCCCAGAAATTGCAAACTCTCATGTGGATATCCAACCATTATTAAGAACAGCTTGTCTACGCAATGTTCAACTGCTGCCAAAACAGTAATGATAGTCCAAGGTCATATAACAAGATGACTTGGTTTCATGACAATTCACTCAAATTTACAAATCAGTTGTGTCAAGAATAGAAGTACAACAGTATTATTATGAGCTTAATGTCAGTACAATATTCCACCTAATTTCTAACAAGCTATGGTGAGAAACTCAATTTTTCCCTGTTAATATAAAGGTAAAGAAACCTACTGGGATAAAGGGTGAGATGATAGCCATTTTTTATTTATTTATTTTTTTTTTGGCCACAGCCTAAAAATAAGCAATAGTACCTAAAAAGAAGGGGGGGTAAAGAATGAGAAAAATTCTGTGAACTACTCAATGTGTACTAAGTTACGATAAATTCAGAGAAATCAATAGATCTACAGTAGCATTTTCCTAACAGTAAATTTATAAGTAATACAAGACATAGTCCAAGCAAAAGCCCAGAAATAGTCATTTGCTTTAGGGTTCCCCTCCCCAAGAGGGAACATTTTAAATTACCAGATTAGAAGTTCACTTGTAAGCTTGACTATGGCGTGAAAGCAGTATTTGAATACAACTGTGCTAGAACAACTTCAAGTCACTACTGAAAAACAAAATACTTTTCCATACTGAGTCTTAAGCTCTCACAATGAGAGAATCTGTCTTCCTCAAATTTAACTTAGCATACATACCTGGCTCTGACACCTCTGTTTTGGGGGTAGTTATTTTGTCCTCTCTTGAAATGCTCATTTCTGTCATTTGTTGAGTTACAGGCAAGGCAGCCACAGGTACATTTCTATTTGGGTTCAAGCAAATAGTTTTTAGTAAGATATTAAGGGTGCATTTCAACTATATTCTTACCAATAAGATAAAATACACCTAAACAAAAGTTTTACAGACTACCAGATGTATGACTGAGAATAAAAAAAGAAATTTGAATTTAAATAAAATAAAGCTTGACTGAAGACTGCTTAGTTAAGGATTACAATGACAGAACAATCAATGTCTTTGAGTTGTGGGGTAGGGAGAAGGGAACGGAACTGAATACTGCATAAACTGCCAAAAGAACAAATTGGTATCTTTGAGAAAATGAAGCTAGGATGGCCCCTTGAAGGCATGGATGGTGAAATTCTCTTTCAACTACTTTAGGGCATGTTTAAGGAGTGGCAAGTCCTTGGAGAAAAAGATGGCATGCTGCAAAAGGGTTATGAGCTTAAATGTGTCTGAAATGGTGAGGACAGCACAGGATACCGCAAGGTTCAGATCCACTGTTCACAGAATTGCATCTATTTGACACCACTTTAATCAATGAGGAATTACAGCTGCACCTATGATCTGTTTACAGGAAGCCTTAACTTGGCACCATAACAGATCACACACATCCACAGCCTCACAGTTTTGAAATCTCAATTGTAGGACAATATTAACACTGCAATCTCAGCAAAGCACCTGTAGCATGTTACGGAGCGTTTTACATCTTTACTCAACAATCTTCAAAGATCACATTAAAGGAAAGAAATTGAAATCTCTGCAGTAATATCTACAATGACATCTGATATATCATCTTTTTAAAGGTATCATACCCATCTTGATTTCTGTGATCATTAAAAAAAAAACCCACTGAAACATTAATAAATCACTCTTACCTTGATTTTTCCACTGTGCTGCCAGAAGCACCTTCACAGCTGTTTAAACTGGCGTCTGCTCTCTGTACAGATGCAGAATCTGAGGTAGGACTGTTGGAACCACTAGCCGTCCCTAGTTAACAAAAATGATTTATAAGAACTAAACCAACACTATAAAAACTCACTTAGTATACTTGCATTTAATTGGATTAGTGAGTTAAGATCTTTCAATGTGCTGCAGAATCCTACACTTATGTAAGTATCCAAACAACCAAAAATGTGTTTTTAAAAAGGGATATGAAAAGGGACATCCAGTGTTAGGAACTATGAAACAAAACCCCAAAATAGGAAACAAAAAAATGGCAGATGTTTGTAGAGTCATGCATTCATTCCTGCTGCAGCCAGGTCAAACACTGGGATTGTTGCTTTAATTTCAAGCTCTTTAAGAGTTCCTTTACTTGCTCCTTGAACATTCAGCATTGATTCTGTCTTGGGCCCCAATTGGTGGCATTTTTTGTCAGCCAGTTCTTCAAATGGGTTTTCCTTGGAAACAACTTACCCATTGGGCTCATTCTGCCGCTATTCTGCTGCCTCTGAAGATGTTCTTTGTAGCAAACTGAACACATTCCATTTGTCCTAGGATTCCCATAAAAGCCACATCCTGTACTACACAGCATGGGCCCTGGGGTCTGGTTAGTCTCCTGGGCCATATCTTTCTGCTAGAAACAAAACAAAACATTTAGAAATTAAAATGGGTATGTCTCTAAAATAAAATAAACTTAATGGCGCACACCTCCCTCAAATCAAACTCTTCTCACTGCCAATTCTGAGCCCTAGGAGAGTGAACTACTCATAGGGTTGGCTGCAACCTTTCATCAGCACTGCGGGCCACACTGCTCTGTGCACCAGCTGGTGGGCTCAAACTGCTGACCTTTTCATCACAGCCAAATGCATAAATCACCGTATCACTAGGTCCCTGTAGACAAACTTTATTTGTAACATCTAAGCCTGTTTCTTACAAAGACTCAAAATATGTGTTAGTAAACAAAACAATTATCATAGCTTGGTAGTAAATGGCACCCTCTCCTTAAAAAAAATTATTTCACGTATCAATGTTTTTTAAATTTCAGAAACTCACTCATCAATTATCAGGATTAATTATGGGCACACCATTTCAAATCTCAATTTTACTTCACCGGTCAAAAGTAAATGAAATTATTACAATTAACCACTCCCTCAATGTCTACTCTGGTTAAGACTTACTGCACTGGCTCTAGCTCTGAGGCTTTCCTAAAACACCAGAGTACAGAAGAGCTTCAGCTGGAAGTAATGGAATTGGGTAATTCTGCTAAGGGGCAGGGCAGCTGTATTTCTTATTATTTTGTATTGATGTGCTTACAAAGTGCGTATACATTGTCTTTTATACAGGCAGCTAGCTGTATTTTTTAAACTTTGAGTGTATTTACAGAATACTGCAAGCAAAGTGGAAAGATGAATTAACAATTGTTATTGAGCACCAACAAGTGAAGTTCAAGGATCATTCAACCACATTCTACAACGAGGTGTGAAAATCTGGTTGATTTTCAACAAGTCAGTGCCTAAACCTACAACTCTTGACCCATCAGTCAGCTTTCTCACTCTACAAATAAGGACCTTTTTCTATGCTTATGCTTAATTTCAGTATACAAAAAGCAAAGCATACCAAAATGGACTTTATACTTACTGCGCCTATATCAATGCTTTCCTTTTTTAAAACTAGCACTAATATTGTTTTGTTGAACTTAGTAAGGTGATTTGTTTGTTTTCTTTTGTGTGTGTGTGTGAGGAAGTCCATAGTGCTAAGAAAATACACTTTACAAAAAATTGTTATAAAACAACTGTAGAGGGTTTGCACATGATTTTAAACACAAATAAGTATAAAACTATTAATAAGCACATTTTACATAGGGGATACTGAGTACTATAACTTGTAGTCACTGTTACCACAGGACATCACAGAAATATTCCAAGCCAATAAATCTTGTATGAAGTGCGGCCAAAGTCTACAACTTACTTTAAACACTCATTGCTACTGAGTTGGAATTAACTCATGGTTGATCCTCCAGCTGCTTTTTAGGTAGCCTTTCCCCTACAACCACTGGTGGATTCGAACATCCACTTCTGCAATGCCTCTTTATTGCTGTGTAACTCCCTACAGACTAGGCCACCAGAGCTCCCTCCGCGAACATAGTACTACTTGAGTCAACATGTTGTAAATAGTAAGTGAAATTTAGCTGACTCATTTGGAGCAGGGCAGTGTAAACATTTCAAAATCAATTAATAAACATTCAATTTGGCTTTTAAAATATGCTGACTTCACAAAAATACTTCATGTAATTAGCATTAATTTGCATGTCTCCGCCTCAAAGGCTTTCCCCTTGCTTCATGCAAAAAATAATAAAAACTGGACATTTGAGCTTAAGAATTATGCCTTGTCATCTGTCACTGGTTTTAAAAAGTCTAGTCTGCATACGAACATTAGCTTTTATTAATCCTAGACTTTTGTATCTTATGTAAATAAAATGGAAGGAGCCCTATTCAAAATTTCATGTAACTTTGGCAAAGTATAAAGTAGTTCCACCTTTCCTTCTGCAAAAAACACACCTCCCCCTTCAATTCACTATAAATCACATCCAGTTCTAAGAGACAAGTACCAAGGCATTAGCTTTTCTAATAGCTTCCAATCTTTTGGATTTCCCCCCTAGAAAGCCAGCTTTTAAATGCCATCACATGTGCACAGCTCGCCTTAATATTTCTCAGAAGCTTAGATCACATGGGTGGGTGCCTCAACCTGTCACAAGGCTGCAATGTGACAGGCTGAGCTGGATGGAGGCTCTCACATAAAACCCAGTCAACAGGGGCCTCTGAAATCAGCTTCTATTTATAACGCCGAGCCTGCCAACTCCTACACTACCCCAAGAACTAAAGATGTAGCCTTCATACATTTCACATAAAGAGAAAGCAATCTGATTAAGGCGGTTACAGTTTTTAGATGTCAGCAGAGAAAACCAGAAGACAATCTCAAATTCAATCTAGAAGACATGGCATCATTAATCACTTGAGAGACAAAAATGGCCAGGTTGTTTATAAAACAAGAATGAACAGCAGAAATCGCACCAAAGCATAAAAATCCCCATATGCTATGTGGCAACCTGGGGAGGAGGCGACCGTTCACCACCCCTATGTAAAATTACAATATAGAAGCTTCAGAGTTATTAACAAACTTGGGCATACATGTGTCCGTTCTATCAGGCACTGCTAGAATTAAAAGCAACAACAAAAAAACACAACTCTCCAATCCCAAATAGCTTTCACGTTCATAGGAATTCATTCTTTCAAGGTGCACATGATGTAAAGAAATGACTAGAACCTCACTTGGAGACCCAGCCTCTAACTTATTACCAACCAGTGACCTTGGGCCAGTCCTTACCCTCCAGATCCCCTCTGCCCAATGAAGTCAATGAAATGAGAATGACTGATAAAGTCCTAATATATTGGGCTGAAGGCTAAAACGCGAGGGGGGGAGGACCCAAACCACCAAAACAAGAACTTCGAAAACGGACGAAAAAAGGTACATTTGAAGAAAAAGGTGCAATCTCCTATCAATGGATCTCGGAACTTTTTAGAAAAAGACTTAAAAGTGATGAGTAAAATGAAATGTAACCGGTCAACTAACTGAATGCCAGGTTTAGCAGGGGCGCTCTGCAATCTAGCGATCAGATCCTGGACTCCTATCTCAAAAACAAGGGCTTCACAGGGTGCGTGGAAAGCCACCAAAGAATTGTACGTTCACAAGCCTAAGCGCCCGAAACAAAGAGGAAGAAGGTGCTCCATTTCCTCCGTAAGAGAGATG